GGGGAGGGAGAGGGAAAAGGGACTTACATGTGAAACAAGCTTGTTCCATTTCTTGAACTGATAAAAAAATTAAAAATTTTAAAAAATTAAATTAAATTTAAAAAAAAGAAAGCAGGCTGAGCAAGACATGGGGAGCGGCCTCTGCATCAGCTCCTGCCTTCAATGCTTTTTAATAAACTGTAATATTGAACATGGAGAGAGATAAACAATTTTGTCCCCCCAAAAAATTTTTGTATGATCTCTGTTATCATATGCACATTTCAAGCCATTCTAAAAGCTAAATTGCATTAGAAAACATTTTAAATTATGACCCATTTCTATGTCCTAGAACTTGTAACTGAGTTTCTAGTTTGGAGCCCTGAACTCAGGCTCACAAATGCTGCAGAATGACCTCTGAATGAGTTCACAGTTGCCTAATAGAACAACCTTTGCCTGGTTGTTACAAAATATATTTCTCTGTGCCAGTATCTAGTTATATAATGAACTATGGAATGTTAATGATTTATTTGTCTGCATTATAAAATTTACTCCCTTGAATTTCTATAAGCAGAAGAGGTGGCTACAGCTGGAATCTTAACAGCACCCACAAAGAACTCTTCACCATGTCAGACTACTACTGGTTTGAAGGAATACCTTTCCATAATTTTGGGTTTGGAAAAGAAATAATTAAAGAAATTCGTCATAAGTTTGTGATCAGAGATGAAGACACCATCATACTGGCTTATCCTAAATCAGGTAAGGAACATCAGTAAAACTGATCGTGTGTTGTATGAGGAAGATTAAGGCTTTAATTATCATTCATTTGGGTGATAAATGGGGTGTTCTCTATATATGATATTTAAACTGCTTTGTGAGCATGGAGAGTTCTGTGTAAGTGCATTTCCACTCAAATGAAGACGTTTTGACTGGTCTGTGTGGGTGGAGGATAAGTTAAAGCAAAATAGCACTGGAAGTGGATACGAAGGCAGACTAAGACATTGTTGTGTCTCTGTGTGGAAGAGAGAGTGGAAGAGAGAGGATGAGAAGAATGAAATGAAGAAATAGCAACAAGAGAAATGGCGTGGATGAAAGAATATGGGACAGAGAGGACACTGTCAGGTAGGATAACTGCCATGAAACTCAGGTAATGGACAGACTCTCACAACACAAGGAACCAAAAAGAGGCATCATGGGTGTTGGGAAAGAGCTGTTCGGTGGGTGGCAGAGGCACTGAATATTAGATAAGTATTAGGTTGCTGTGTAGTATGAATAACAAAAACCCAGAGACAGATATTGGGGTTCAAGCTGAAGATCAGAAAGGCAAAGCAGCCAGCTAGTAGCTCTTAACTCTACCAAAGCTGAAATGAAGATCCTGTTGTCCTTTTGACAGGAAACTGAATCTTTCATGAGACCCTTTGCTTTTTCCTTATATACCTTGCTAGTGATAGGTTTAGAGTTACTCTTTTAGACTGATTCACTCTAGTGTGGCACAGGGTGGTCTTGGACTCACAGAGATCCATTTACCTCTGCCTTCAGAATCCAGAAATTAAAGGTGTGTAAAACACTTCCTGACATCTATGGCTAACTAGTGTGACTTGATTTACATTTTGATCCCCAGTCAAGCTTTATTAATTGTAAACAATACATTGCCACATTGCTGACATCAAAAGATCAACAACATGGAAATTCAACAGCATTGGAATGCATGAAAAAGATTCAGACATAAGCCCAGAGTAAGAAGCTAGAAAAATATCCATTGACAAATGAGCATGTAAAAAGAAATAGAGGTCTGTGCGGTAACTAGATGCAACATGATTAATAGATCTTAAAGAGAAGCTATACTCATCATACATTCACTGCAGCATGGATGTATCTCAACAGCATTTTATTTAATAAATGGAGCCAGACAGATTCCATTAATGGACTGCTGAACAATAGCTGACAGAATTGAATTGTCTGCACAAAAATGTAGAATGATGAAGGCCCAGGATGGATGGAAGATCAGTATGCAGGTGGAGTATACTGAGTACAGAGTCTCAGGTTTTCCAATTTAAGCACTGGGAATGTAGACAAGGCATATACTCTGTACTTACACCATTTTACACTGTGGCCACCACATGTTTGTGTCCTTGAAAGCAGCTTCTGTATAAATTGTATGAGCACGTATTCTACTTGATGCTTTCTCACAAATACTTTTCAAGTGAGTTACCATATCTCTTCCTTCTTGTTTAGGAACTAACTGGCTGATTGAGACTGTCTGCTTGATTCAGAAAAAAGGAAATCCAGAGTGGGTCCAATCTGTGCCTGTCTGGGACCGCTCACCCTGGATAGAAACAGAAGTCGGATATCAAACATTAATAAATAAGAAAGGACCACGAATGATCACCTCCCACCTCCCCTTACATCTTTTTCCCAGATCTTTCTTCAGTTCTAAGGCCAAGGTCAGTGTCCCTTGGTTGAGGAATCTTGACCAAATCCTCACTGAACTTAATCTACTCTGATGGGTCCTACAGCTCTGCCTGATGTTCAGTCTGATTGTGGAGGTTGTGGGGGGGATCTGGGATTCTCATGCAATAGGGGATGCCTATGTGTCCCCTCCTCAGAATACAGTGTACCATGATGTCAACCACCACATAGTGATCCTGAGCTGATATATGAGACATAGTTAAATATCAACACCATCATAAAGTAAACTATATGTACAAGGCAAGCAGAGTTCAAACTCGCATGTTCAGTTAATACAAACTTCTGCTGCCATCAAAGTCAATTAGCTAATTTTGGTTTTACATAAACCCAATGGCTATAGGGTGAATTACTCAAGGCACGGTTGCCCTATGGGAATCGGGCAGAACAGGCACCATTGGTTTAGTCATGGACATTGCTCAAAGGACATGGGTCACTGTATCCACTGTGAATTACCTGTGTCAAGCTGTCTGTTGAGAACAGTAGATATGAGATACACCTATGTCACTGATAGATGATCCCCAGTGGGATTAGAGCTAGCCAGATTCTGATCTATCTTGGCATCTTGTTAGTAAGAAAGTTCTCTGGAAATGCACCCACTCCAGAAACTAAAAATATTTTATGCTTAAACTACAAAGGCAAGCTTAGAGAAATTATCTCTCTTGAAATTATCACAATCAAGTTGGGTCCCATCAGTTTGTCATATCTAGATTTTGCAAACTCTTAGCTGGAGAAATTGAGGCCTGAGGACAAGAATTCTACAATAATGTCACAAACAGTATTGGTACAAAATATAGATCTTATTTTATTAAAATTATTAGTCATTTTCAATTTATTTATTTAAGTTTTGAAATTATAATTACAAACATCATTTATCATTCCTCTTCCTCCCTGCAAGCTTACACTCACATCGCCCTCCTTTGTCTCTTTAAAATTTATGGTCTCTTCTTTCATTAATTGCTGTTACCTGTACATGATCTACATATTTCTCAACATGTAAATACGACTTACATAGTGTATGCAAGGTTACTCGAATGCCTGTTTTCAGGTCTGTGGATTTAACACTCTGTAACCCATTGATTTGCTTTCAATCCCTCTGACCCTACATTTCTTCATTGCCTGAATGTCTTGGTGTTAACCATTTGGCAATGACAGACTGGCTTTATGTTCTGCACCATTATTCTTTTGAGACTTATTTTTGAATTAAGTCTTATAAAAACCAATTAGTTTGCCGTATTGCGGACAAATTTAGCACACTACTCATTGCTCATTGTAAGCAAGTCTTTTTTTCACAGCAGATGCATGGTCTTTTACTCTGTAATATATTAATCTTTACAACTGTGGAATCAATCTTGGATTTTTGTTATAATTGTTTGATTTTTGAGGTATTAGTGATCTCAATCTGTTTACTGTTCCTTAATTGTAAACCAAATAAAATGGTTTAAAATGATTCTGACTATAAACATTTTATACTTAACAAATATTTGGTCCAAGTAAAATAAGTTTTTTTTAAGAACCTCTTGGATTTTGATTGACATTTCATATAACTTGTGTTAGTTAAAATGTGGGAAATGTCCATATTGACTTTTATGTCTTTTCATTTAAGGTGATATATGTCATCAGAAATCCCAGAGATGCTCTTGTGTCTGGTTATTTTTTCTGGAGTGAGACAAAATTTGCCAAGAATCCAGAGTCAATGAAAACTCATTTTGAATCATTCCTCAAAGGAAATGGTGAGTGTCCTATTTAATATAGGTGTTTGGGGAGGCTCAGAGTCATTTTAAGACAAGGTGAGATATAACTTAGTCTGGCCTTGAACACTCTACTTAGTCAGGGATGACCTTGCAGCTCTTCTTATTCTGAATCTCCCTCTTGAGTTCTTGGACGACAAATACCTACTGTCATGTCCTGTTAGCATAATGTTGGGACTCAAGCTCATAATATCAAGAATGTCATTTAACTTGAATATATTCCTGGACTTTAATATATTCTGTAGTCTACACTTTGATCCATATTATCACTCTACATTCAAATACTCTGTGGCTCTATCCAAGGATCATCACCATTTTGAATGTAATATTGAAGTCATCCTGTTATCACAGACCACCACATAACAGGGCACATACACAGCTTACCCCATGACACAACATCCTGGTAACAATGGTGTATCTGGTCTTTCCAGTAATCATTTGCGGTGATACTTGAGAAATTCTCCAAATAGACACTAAAATTTGAACACTTGTTTCCCTCTTGATGGCACTGTTTCAGAAGATTTATGAGGCCAACCCTGTAGGAAGAAGTATATCATTGAGTGTGAGCTTTGAGAGGTTTTTAAATTATTTTAATTAAATTTGTTCATTTATTTTATATCCTGATCACAATTTTCTCTCCCTCTTCTCATCCCATTCCTTCCTCCCACCACCCCTCCAACCCATTCCCAATTCACACATCGGTTTCTGTTCAGTAAGGGTCATGCCTCAGCATGGGCATCAACAAAGCTTGGCACATCATGTTCAATTAGAACTAAACTCCTCTGCTCCTATTAAGCCTGGTCAATGCAACATATGATCAGTAATATGTTCTCAAAAGTCAGTCAAAGCAATACAGGCAGACCTTGTTTCCCCGCCTAGGATTCCCACAAGTAGAACAATCTACACAACAGTCCCAAATCTGTAAAGACCCTAAGTCAGTTCTATGCAGACACCCTAGCTGCTTTTTTTCTTCAAAGATTGGTTTGAGTATCTGGGAGGTATTCCTTAATTTGAATTTCGTATGTAATTTGTACTTTCGAAATTTCAGACCTTGTGTAAATTACATTCAATTGTTGAAAATATTCACCCTCTCTAAACACCCTTTCATTTCTTCTAAAACGCATTTCCTACAATTTTCTTTTAAAACTTTATGGATGGTTATTTGTGGATCATTTCATTAAATCCAGATTAGGATCACCTGTGGGATTGAGGGGTTTGTAGTACCCATTGAAACCTAGTTGTCACTTGCAGGGAGTAGTAGGATCCCATGTGTTCATACAGATTTGCACTCCCACCAATAATAGAGGAGCGTTCCTCTGTCTCCACATACTCTCCAGAATAAACTGTCAATGGTGATTTTGATTTTAGCCATTCTACCTAGTGTAAGGTGTTATCTCAAAGTTGTTTTAGGTTGTATTTCCCTGATGGATAAGGATGTTGAGCACTCTTAAGTGTCTTTCAGCCATTTTAGATTCTTCTGTTGAGAATTCTCTACTTAGTTTGGTACAGCAGTTTATTTCTTTTTTCCTATTTTTTTCTTCTTATTAGAAAGAAAATTCTTTTACATGTCAATTCCAGGTCCCTCTCTCTTCACTCCTCCATGGTCCCTCAACTAATACCTTACCTATCCCATATCCTTTCTGCTCTGCAGGGAGGATGAGGTCTTCCATACGTTGTCTTCAATCTATGGGGCTCCTTCTAGTGGATCAGCACTTATCCCTATGGTAGGAATGGACTCAGGGAGCCCATCCCACATGGAGACATACTCCTTGAGCCCAGACACAATGGGGTGGGTCTAGGCAATATTCCAAAGGATGTTACAGACTTTGATGACCCCCTACAGAAAGCCTCACCCTCCCTGGGAATCAGAAAGGGTATGGTATAGGTAGGCTGTTAGATGGGAGGGCAGGGAAGGAGGGGAGGGGGAAGGACCTTGGATTAAAATATAAAATAATCTTCTTCTATTTAAAATAATAAATAAATAAACAAATAAGTAAATAAATAATATAAATTATTTCATTAACCACAAGTTTCTATGGCCTTGCATATTGTCTGAATATCCATGCATAAAATCTTGTCCCTTTCTCTCTCTTCCTCCATCCCTCATCAACCATTTCCCATTTCTTTTTTTCTCTCTCTCTCAATCAGATGACTAATTCCCCTCAATCTGCTCACTGATTTGATTATTAATGTTGTCATGCAAACTAAATGCATGACTTTATTTGATTCACCTCATTCAGGGAGTCTGGAACACTCCTATGGTGGTTTCCAAGCCAAGTCTGAGGTTCAAGAGCAACCCCTTGTTCAGGTCAGCAGTTTCTGTGGGTTTCTCCAGCCTGGTCATGACCCCTTTGCTCATCACTCCTCCCTCTCTGCACCTGGATTCCAGGAGTTCAGCTCAGGGTTTAGCTGTGGGTGTCTGCTTCTGCTTCCATCAGCTACTGGAGGAAGGCTCTAGGATGACATATAAATTAATCATCAGTTTCATCATTGAATAAGGCCATTTAGGCTAGCTTGTCCTCTATTGCTTTAATTGTTATTTGGGGTCAAACTTGTAGATCTCTGGATGTTTCCACAATGCCAGATAAATCTAAACTTTTATATATGAAAAACACTCATCCATCTCTATTTTTAGTCCTCATGATGCATACCCATGCACCCCATTGTTCAAAAGATGTCCATATCAGCAAGGTGATGGAAGATATATGCACAAGGAATAATCAACCTGTTTGCTCCTTGACCCATCCTTACATGAAAGGCACATCTCATGGGCTGCTTTATTCTTGTTCCTTCTCATCAATGAGTCCCTCACTCACATATGTGCCTTTCTAAATTTTGGACATTTTCTCTAGGTTTTTCACCTCAAAGAAAGTAACAATAACATTTTAACCTAAAGTTAAGTCCTATTTATAGTTTAATTTCAGCTGTGAAGCATACTAAAAGCAATGAACACATCTCTCAAGATGAAAATTAAAGAACCTTAGCTAACTTAACTTCTGGGTCACAATTGGTTTCTGAATCATTAATCTAAGCCACAGACCATATCTTGCTTTTACCTATATTAGTTTTTCCATTAAGTTTTGCTTCCTGGTGGACTGCTATCCTGAAATTTTCTTGCCACCTGCTGATCCTGTGACATGGCCACCAGCAAATGGTCACATTCAGTACTGTAAATACTGGTTTGATTTTTCATAGTAATACTATCTTCCAATTGCAGAAAAGCAAAGACTATCAGGCAGACTTCACTTTCACTGTTTGTAGTCAACACTTTCTTTCCCCTTTTACACAGTGCCATATGGATCATGGTTTGAGCACACTCGTGGCTGGCTGTCCATGAGAGAAAGTGAAAACTTCCTGCTACTGTGCTATGAAGACTTTAAAAAGGTAACTGCCATTCTTACAACAACCACACAGCCTCTCACCAACTCACCCCATACAGAACCACACATCCCTCCATATCCTCACTCCACATACGTCGTCAGGAGTAGGCTCATGGAGAGTTCCTAAAAGTGAGATCATGCCCTAAGTCCTCTTTTGACCTGCATCTGGCATTTCCTATCGAGCCTACTTGTCCATCACCCTCATCTTCCCTACCCTATTCCACCCTGAGTTAGGGTGGAATGGCTCACACTTGTACTACAGCCTTTTTTAAAAAAATTCTGTTCATGCAACTCATCCCATACATCTCATAACCTAGTGGTTAGTGACAAATGGGCAAATCATGGTCATTCCACTCTTGTGCCCAAATGTATTTCATTATCCTTTGATCACAAGAAGAAGCAGAAAGACAAGAAATCCACCTCTGAATACTGGGAGTGTGCAAGTGCTGGAGTCACATGAACAGTACTGTGTGACACTCAAATCTGACCAAGTGTGTACACGATGTGGCCAATTGGGGAGGATGTAGTCCTATGCTATTCACTACAGAGGGTCTGCATGGTGGTGATTTCAAAAGTTTTATTGAAGAATATAAAAAAGTTTCAATATTATATAATTGCACATGTCTAGATAAAGTGATAGGCTACACACTTATCTGATCAAGGCAGGTTTTATTTAATTGAAATGCCCCTCTGAAGGCTAGAAATATGGTAAAGTACTGTGTGTGACTCAAATATCTCTTATTTTAAAATTTAAAAAATATCTTGGTGGGGTGCTATATGACTCTAACCCTAGACCTTGGAGATAGAGACCGATTCAAGGGTTCTATGTCATGCTTGGTTGTATGGTGGTCTTGCGGTCAACCTTGGATTTAAGAGACATTATTTCAAAGGACCATTAAGAAAATATTATTAAATTCGTTTTTTACTGTATTTTCATGTAGTCAAAATTTCTTTCTCTAATGGGTGGAAATACAATGAAACCAAACATGTAAGGCCAAAAATATTCTTATTTAATCAGCAGCTCAAAAGTTTAAGTGGTTTAGAAGTTATGGGTGAAAGGGAGGCACTGTAGCTCTGCCTCCTAGGAGCTCCTACAGGTGTGCTTGGCCTCACCCAATCAATAGTACATCATTTACATATCACAGAAAAGGTATCAGTTTTACTTTTAACTGTGCACACAATCTGCCAGAAAAACACTAGCTCATCTTTAGAATTGTTAAAAGTTAGTTAAGAAGGACAAGAAACAGCCTCATAGCCATTATTTATCTTATAGAAATAAACTCTGATGATGATGAAGTTTTCTGATAGTTGTGCATTCTTTAGTTTTGTTTTTTTTTTTCTTATTTTTTTTTTAGTATTTAAAACATATTTAAATTTAATATTATTATGTTCATATTATTTCCCTCCCATGATTCCTTCCACATCTTATCCCCCTCCTTACCCACCTAACCTTAAACTCCGTCTCAACAAACAGAAATATAAACTAATACAACAACACAGCCCAAAATAGTTAAACACTGAAACAGAAAACAGTAAAGACACTGAGCTGTAACCAAATAAAAGGACACATGCATTCAAAACTCTGGAGTCTATTATATATTGGTCAAGTAACCATGACCATGAAGACTTCCCTGGGATGGTTGGTATACCCAGTGGACTGCATTAGAGAAATCTGATTTTTCCTCTTCCAGCAGGTATAAATAACAGATCAGCTGCTAACCTTTACCCTAGTGGCTATATTTTTATTCATTCTTGTAAAAAATATATAACAAAATAAGATAAAACATTATGAAACAATATTGTCACCTCAAAATTGGACAAGACAAACCAACAGAAATAGAACAGTGCAAGAAAAGGCTGAAGCAGAGAACCACATGTTCACACATTCAAGTAACCCATAAAACACTAAGCTGGAAACCTTATTAATAACCAGAGAAATAGTATCCACTGGTGTGTCACTATGCATACTGCTCCAGTCTGTGGGTTCATCCTAGCTTTGATCATGGTGATGTGGAGGACCTTAAAAGTTTTACGTATGTGACTTCCCTCCTCTCTTGCTCTTTTATTTATAAGCAGAACAAAGTTTTATTTTTATTTTTATTTTGGTTGATGGTTTTATTAAGATGTAATAATAGATAAATAATTCTAAACTTTGTTGAGCTTTTTTCAAAGTATGCATGTGTTATGTCAAAGACATGATTTTCAAATTGGATGCAATAACACAAACAATTTTTCAAGAAGAAATGTTATTAATCCAGAATTATGGTTTGGGAGAGTATAATCTTTAGATTTATTTTAAAAAAATAGTTCAGACATTTAGAAAAACATGAAATCAGCAAATCACCTTTGAAAGTATATATTTGAATATGTGAACTTTAATCTGTAGAAATAACAGAGATTATTTCAGCTCAATGAAAACTAGAGTGATTTTATTACTAGAATTCTGAGGCATTTGTTGTTTTAGAATTCTAATATGACAAAACTGTTACAGGTGCCATGAAAAGTTGAACAGCTTGCTGCTGATTTTTAGGAGTGGCAAAAGTTTCAGAAATCAGAAATTCATTTGCTTTCTTTAGATTCTTTAGGAGATTTGTTTTCTTCTTCAATTTTTTGGTTTGTCTTTTCCTCCATTTCATGTAATTTTTGCTTGTTTTTTCTTCTATTTCTTTAAAGGATTTTCTTGTTTCCTCTTTAAAGGTCTCTATCATCTTCCTAAAATAATTTTTGAGGTCCATCTCTTCTTCATCCACTGTGTTGGGCTTTTCAGTGCTTGCTGGTGTTGAGTCCCTAGATTCTGGTTCTAGATTCATATTGGTTTTTCTGTTGTTGAGTGTGTTCTTATTCTGTCTTCATCCCAATCCTTCTTCCAGTGAGTGCAGGTGGGGTCTCTCCCTCTCTCCAGTAGCAGGCAGAGGGCTCAGCCTCTGGCAGCAGCCAGATGGCAGAGGACAGTGGGTGGACAGGGGTGGGGTATGTCTAGACTCAGGGTTTGCCTTCCAGATCTGGGCAGGCCCAAACTTTCCCAGGTGGGCTCAGGCAGAAGGAGCAGGGGTTGATGGGGGATTTGGGGGTGGGCAGAGCAAAGCCCAGACTCGCCTGAGTCTCGGGAACT